CATTAACTAAAATCCGTACCTTATTCAGATTTGCTTAATTTTTACCCAATGTCATTTTTTTGTTCCAGGATCCCATCTAGGATATCACATTATATTTAGTTGTTATCTCTCCTGAGTCTCCTCTGCTATGACAGTTTGTCAGATTGTCCTTACCTTTGAGGACCTTGACGGTTTTGAGGAGTACCCATTCGGAATTTGAAAAATGCCCTTCGTTGTAATTTGGAATTCTTCTGCAAGGAAGATTTGTTTCTTCTCCCCCCTTTTATTAATTTATTACATCATCTATATGAGTATGTACTCATGGATATTTACTTTATTCTTTGGAATATATTCCAGTCCTTTTTTTCTCAAATTGTTCCAGTTTTGGCCATAGGGAGGTCTTTCATTTGGTTCCTATATCAGCTGGTTCCTGTATTTAATATACTCTCATCAATGAACATTTCTTAGTGTTGCTAGCACAGCAAGATGTTCTGATTCATCTTATGTATTTCCCGTCCATTCTTGGAATCAGTCATTTGTCCAAGGGCCACTGGTTCCTTTTATTGGGGAATGGTACTAGAACCCAAAATCTGGGTGCTTGGTGTACTTGTTGCTACTGGGAAGTCATTTACCAAATGTATTCTTTGCCTGTTTTCAAGTTTTTCTCTGTCTTTTGTGTTCTGCCATTTCATTACCTAGTATATAGATGTGGAGCTTTTCCCTTCCTTCCTTCCTACCTTCCTTCCTTCCTTCCTCCCTTTTCTATCCTGGTTGATATTTATTCTACTCACTATTTCTATGGATTCTTGCTTTTCCCGAGTTCTGGAAAATTCACAGTCATTTTTGCATATCCTCCCTATCTTCTCTTCTCTTGTCCCCTCCTTCTGGAACTCTAGACATATATTAGGTATTTTTATTTCACCTTCCATAGCTTTAAACATCTCACTTACAGTTATTATCTTCTGATATTAATATGCTGCATTCTGAGTAATTTATTAAGGTATCTCTTCTCTTCCATTACTTTTTGCTTCTGCTATGTTTAAACTGCCTTAACTCATCTTTTATTCAAAAACCTTATTTTTGGAAATTATATTTTTTTTTTCTCAAATCTGGTAATTTTTGCTTAATCTCTTCTGATTTACTCATTTTGTGATTCCATCTTTTATTTTTTAAAATATTTAATACATGTTATTTTATCTTATTTTTCTGATAATTCTAATATTTGAAGTGCTTGCCAGTGGGAATCTGTTTCTGCTAACTCATACCAGTGGTGTTTTTTTTCTGGATTTAGTAATTTTTTTTATTATGAGCTCATTTTTGGTTTACCTTAATTTATGGAAAACTTGGAGACATTAAACTGAAGAAGCGTTCCTCCAAAGGGAATTTGTTTTAGCTTCAGGCAGGAGTAAATAACACTACGGACCTGGAACCACTTTTCCTATTCCAGGCTCTCTGACTTAATTCTGTGGAATCATGTTCAACTCCCATATTCCTTGCCCCTGAAGCTGCAGTGCTAATAAAGACATTTGTCCTCAAAGATACCTTGCCTTTTGGGCATGCTTACTGGTCATTATCCTATTTTTGGCACATGCAGTTTACATGTGTGTGACTTTTATTTTGTTTTTCCCTTTGGATTTTTCTCTTACTTCCTATGAGCAAAGAAAGAAAACATTGTATTTTATACAGAACCTAGTTGTTTCATCTCATGAGGGCCTCTCAGAGTATCTAACCTGCCACACTGCCTGAAGTAACTATCCTAAATCACCAATATTCCTGTCTCTTCCTTGCCTTCCACACACATGTAGTTATTCAGCCCTTTTTAATTCTACTTCTAAAATTGTATGCCCGTCCATTCCCGTTTGCTGGCCTTCCCATCCCTGGTGTCTCTAACCCATTATATATACTGCCTCCATGTTACTCTTTCTTAATAGAAATTCAGTGCTATTACTTGGCTTACTATCCCCACATACTCCTCTCCAGCATCTGATTGTCCTCCAGTGCCTTGATTTCCAACCCTTGTAGTTTAATATCTTCAATGTCTGCAGCAAATCTCTCTTTTCTGAATTTCCCCTATTCCTCTTTGACACTCTGTTTTTCTTCTTCCATGCAACTCATTCTTTCTACCTGAAATGTCCTATATTCATCCATATCCCCAAATGGTACTAATTTATCTATTCAGGTCCATCTCAGTTGCATTCAGTTTTATTCAGTTTTCCAGAATTCTTCCTAACTCAAAGTAACTTCTCCCTCTTTTGAACTTTTATGGCACTTTGTCTTCTCTTGTGGCTTTATGGCTTTTGTGTGTGTGTATGTGTGTGTACAAGTGTGTGTAGCTTATATATTACAGTCTAAACTCTTTAGGGAAATTTTTTGTTCTAGAAGTCACTTATGGTGGCTTCCGCATCATAGATCCTAACAAATAGTAAATTATACATAATTATAAATTAAAGAGTAGCACATTGGAAATATTTCAGACATTGGTGATGATGTTGTAGCATAAGGCAGATTTTTCTTTTTTAGGCTGAATAATACTGCATTGTATATAAAGACTCCATTTTGCATATCCATTTATCTGTCAATGGACGTCTGGGTTGCTTCCATGTTTTCTGGTCTGTATGTTTTTAACTGTATGAAATCAACTTGATTAAAAGTTGTCCTTATAGTGGGTCTCCTACAGGTACAACCTTTATTAATTTGTGAAATTTCTTTGTAATTCTGCTCTTTTATATTAGTCAAATAGATGAAGCTTTCTAGGTCACTATTTATAATATTAAAGAAAAATGAACACATCTATTCCAGATTGATCTTGGCAGTTCCATCACTGTAGTTATCAGCACATGCTAAGGACTAAAATATTAAATACCCCAGGGAAGTCTTTGGCATTAAGTTCTTTCATTTAATGTTTATTTCTTCCATAATTAGTTGATACATTTTTCAGTATAGTTTTTCTATTTGAAAACCATCACTGGACTAGAGCCAGTGTATAACAATGTGCCAGCAGTTTAAAATGCCTTCCTTAAGTTATCATCACATTCCTAGTCAACTAATAAAAATATACAAAATTATGAAGTGCAGTAGTAGCAAGGGTGTGGAGAAACGGGTTCACATACCCACTGTTGTTCACACTGGAAATGGATTCATTGTTTCTGTAGAGCAATTCAGAAAAAAAGTTAATCTTATCTTTTAGCCAAATAATTTTGATAATATAACCTAAAAGCAAAATATCAGTATAATTTATTCATAGATGTCTCATATGTAATAATGACTAATTGGAAATAAGACAAATATCCAAGAATAACATGATTAAATAAATTACATATATTGCAATGATGAAGTACCAAAGAACCACTAAAAGTGACAAATACACTAACAAATGGGAATGAAGATGTAAAATTAGGTATAGGAAAAAGTAGAACAGTATCTAAACAGTGATTATATCATTAAAAAGATTTGTATGTACATTGTCAAAGATTGAAATTCAATTTGGGGTGGTGTCAGTGGTTTTGGAAAGTTAACTTTTTTTGTTAATTTTTTATTTTTTATAAAGACATTATGACCTTGCAACTTTGGGATATAACTTTGTTCTAATCATAGTGAAAATTAGAGGTTAGAGGTACACAATGAGAATAGATTAATAAATACAATAAATGTCATTCTTTATAAAAAAATTCTTACTTCTCTGATACAGTATAATATGTGATAAAAATAAAGCTTTCAAATCAGACTGAATTTGGATAAAATCTTTGCATGTCTCTTTTTCTTGGACTACATGTCTTAGTCTGTTCTGGCTTCTATAACAAAATGCCACAGGCTGGGTGGCTTATAAATTCATTTGTCACAGTTCTGGAGGCTGGGAAGTCAAAGATCAAGGCATCAGCACGGTTGTATTCTGATGAGGACCCTCTTTTTGGTTCAGAACTAGCACCTTCTCACTGTGTCCTCACATGGTGGAAGGGACAAGGGATCTCTGAGTTTCTTTTGAAAAGGCACTAATTTCATTTTATAAAGGCACTAATTATATCCTAAAGGCCCAAGATGACCAGTGTCCTTAAAAGAAGAGGAAAATTTGGACCCAGAGACACAGACACACAAAGAAGCCATTTGAAGATGGAGCAGAGATTGGAGTGATGTGTCTATAAATCAAGGAACACCAAGGATTGCCAACAGACATCAGAAGCTAGAAGGGAGGCATGGACCAGATTCTCACTCTGAGCCTCCAGAAGGAATCAACCCTGCCAGCACCTTGATCTCAGACTACTAATCTCTAGAACCATGAGAGAATAGATATCTGTTGCATTAAGCCACCCAGTTTATGGTACTTGTTATGGCAGCCTCAGGAAACTAATATGTCCCGTATGTTTGGGAATTAGGAAACCTGCTTCTAGATGGTTTATAAGTCAAAGCAGAAAATGATAAAGGAAGTTAAAAAATGTTTTGAGCTAAATGATCATGAAAATAGCATATATCTACACTTGAGAGATTAAACATATGTAAGAGTTGGAGGAGTATTTATAGTCTTAAGTTTATAAATGAGAAAAGAAGGAAGTATAAAAATAAGTGAGCTAAATACTGTAAAAGAAGAAATCAGGAGGAGGAATATAAAATAAGCCCAAGAATGTAGAATGCAAGACATAATGAAATAAGAGCTGATATCAATGAAATAAAAGCAAAAATACCATAGCAAGTACTAGATGAATCTTAGGAACATAACATTGAATATTTGAAAAAGCAAGTTGCAGAAGAATACATGTAATATTCCACTTACATAGATATTTGAGAGAAGTAAAATTAAACATGTTATATATAGTAAAAAGGTTATAGGTAGAATTTACATCTAAGCTAGGAGGGAATGGCATGGGATGGGAGAATGAGTGGATGAGGGGAAGGAAGGAAGGGAGGGGGGTTAGGAAGGAAGGAAGAAAGGAAGGAGTGAACTTGTATGTTTGTTAACCTTTTGCAATTCTTCTTTTATGATTTTCCTATTCATATCCTTTGCCCATTTTTCCATTTTTAAAAACAAGGTTATTGCTGACATGGAGGCCCAAGTTCACAAGCTGAGAGAAGAGCTGATTCACGTAAACTCGCAGCGGAAACAGCAGCTGATAGAGCTTGGTCTTCTTCGTGAAGAGGAGAAGCAAAGGGCTGCAAGGGACCATGAGACCGCTGTCTACAAACTGAAGGCTGAGTCAGAAAAGATGAAGATGGAGCTGAAAAAGACTCACGCCGCTGAGACAGAGGTGACATTGGAAAAGGTGAGATATCCAGCTGGATTTGCGCAGACCACTGAAACCCATGTTTAGGCCCCACTGCTGCCATCCTTGCATTTAATCTCTAAAAGGTGGCAAGCATAGAACTACTCCTGAAATTTACCAACTGTTCAAATGAGTAATTTAAGTGTCTTGCTATATGTTTAAGCACCACAAAAATAATCCAGGGAGTCAGGTGTCCTATTTTCCCTTGACGTCCATGGAAAGGATAGTATGGAATATCCCATTCCATAGTGATTAGATGCACATTGTGATAAAGCAATGTAGAATATTGTCCAGTATTGTACTGAGTAGGGACACTTGAGCTGTAGCCCCAAGTTTTCCTCGGTTAAGACTAGGTTTCAGATCTTTCTTCAGTTTTCTAATAGTCATTTCTAGATTTCAAAGTCTTTTGTAACAGTCTTGTGTAACATAAATGATGACATAGTTTCCCAGATTATGATTTCAGATTAAGGAAAGTTTCTTTAAAATTATATATTTTTGAAATATATGTCAATATAATGTTTACACATTTTGGGTTGACTGATTTTCCAGGTATAATCTCAAATATTTGTTCTTTCATTGTTCTGGAAAGGTGGAAACATTTTAATTGGGAGTAAATGTGAATTGCTATTAATGATAGCAACTATAAATTGCCTGAGTTCCTTAAGACCAGTCTAATCTTGAGATCAAGAAACTTGAAAAGGGTAATCTAAGAGTCTTCCAATTCTGCTTACTTTTTTTTTTTTTTTACCTTTTCTTCTTCATCTTTAAATGTTATGCCTTCCTAGAGCATACAACACCATTCTAGGCACTGCTCCATTGGTTTTACATGGATTGTGATCCTAAGATGCTTCTTTTATAGTATCCTAATTTATTTGAGACTCAGATTTCAGCAGACTTTGCCCTTGGCAGCATAGCTCTGAACCCAGAAATAAATAGGAACAAGACTCCAAAGAGGCAGAAGTGAGCCTGGCTTCTTGGAGGAGCAGCAAGGAGGCTGATGTGGCAAAAAATGGTAACCAAGAAGGAGGAAGAGGAGGAGAAGGAGGTGATGAGGTTTGGGAAGAAACCTCAGGGGATGGACCTATGTCCTGTGGGTCTGTGTGGGTGCTTGAAAGGGTTTTGCTCTGACTCTCTGGGAGTAAGGCTTCACAGGTTTGCTCTGACTCTCTGGGAGTAAGGCTTCACAGGTTTTGAGCAGAGGAGTGGAATGCATTGATTCACATTTGAGTAGGATCGCTCTGTGCATGCTGAGAACAGACTGAATTGAGGGCAAAGAAAGAAGTAGGGAGACTAGTTGAAAGGCCATTGTGGGAATTTGGATGAGATGACTGAGGCTCAGGCCTGGGCAGCAGCAGGTAAAAACTGATGAGATTCGGATTAGGAAGGTGGATCTGACAGCGTCCACTGTTGATTTGTGGGGGGTGGAAGAGAGAAAGAGGGGCATGCTGTTTAGCAGTCAAGGGAGATTCCAAGGTGACTTGCTGGAGCTGGTGGACCAATGGAATCAGCCTTTTGGCAGCCTAAGGAAGACTGCCAGAACAGTAGGCGGGGCCAGTGGGGGGCATGTCCCAGTTGAGATGCCTTTTATACATCTAAGTGAGGATATTGGTGGTAATTCCATCAAAGCAATACAAAATAAGAATGTTTTGATGCTAAAATATACAAAATTTCAGGAATTAGAAAAGTTCCTTATCCAGACAGTTTTATCCCTCTGACAGTAGCAGATCAATGAGACTGATGGAGAGTGAAAGGGGTGTTACTGTATCCTATCTGGAGACTCTTTTTTTTTTTTTTTAAGATTTATTTATTTATTTGAGGGAGAAAGAGTGCAAGCAAGGGGAGGGGCAGAGAGAGAGGGAGACAAGCATACTCCCCACTGAGCGAGGAGCCTGATTCAGGGGCTCCATGCCATGACCCCGAGATCATGACCTGAGGCAAAATCAAGTATTGGACACTAACCGACTGAGCCACCCAGGCGCCCCTCTGTCTGGTGACTCTTACACACACCTTGCCTTGGCTCTATTTGTCTCTGCCAACAGTTCAAGGTAGTTCTGAATAAATGTACTTAAACAGCACACATACCAGTGCACACTGATTTAGGAAAATTAGACATACCAAAGCCAGACTTATACAAGTTTTGCCTTAATTTTCTTGTGCTATATATTCACATTCCAAATGTTTCTTTTTAGTAGAAGATGAACCTTTTCAAATACAGGTTTATATGTGTTAAAACTAATTAGCAGGTTACAGATAATAAAAAAAAATTAGAAACCATTAGTAATTCGTTTTCCAAACATTTCTGGAAGATCTTTTTTTTTTTTTAAAGATTTTATTTATTTATTTGACAGAGAGATAGAGAGAGAGAGAGCACAAGTAGGCAGAGTGGCAGGCAGAGAGAGAGGGAGAAGCAGGCTCTCCTCTGAGAAGGGAGCCCGACATGGGGCTCGATCTCAGGACCTCGGGATCATGACCTGAGCCGAAGGCAGCTGCTTAACTGACTGAGCCACCCAAGAGCCCCTCTGGAAGATCTTCTGTAACCCTGAAAGGCATTATCCCAGACACTGTGAGGATACACAGGAAAAAGAAAAAAAAAGGCACAGTCCTCAAGGAGATCATAAAATAATAGTGACATCAAGACATACACACATACAAAAATAACTGTAATGCAAGGTGGAGTGTGAATTGGGGGAAATTATTCCTGTTAAGGAAATCAGGGAAAATTAATTGGATGAGATGGTGCTTTTACTAGATATAAGTAATCTGTAGGATTTTGACTAGTAGATAAGCAAGATGGCATTCTAAGCCAAAGGAATAACAACAGCAAGAGCAAACAAAACCATTTACATGCATGGCATGGAGGTTAATCAAGAGGAGTGGTTAGTGATAGGCTGAAAGGTAGCTTGGGATCACTGAGAGTCTCCAAAGCTGTCGTAGTATTTTAGTTTCGCTGGGTAAACAGTGAGGAGCTGCTGAAAGTTTTTAAGCGCTGAATGTCAAGATTCAAGCGATTCTCAGGAAAATCTTTCTGTCAGTGTTGTTCTGATGCCCTCGAAGTAGGAGTAGTTGGTGGGGACCAGATTGACACAGGCAGGAGGTCCCTGAGGGCATGTTCGAGGTGCAGGAAGAGCAGTGCAGGTGAGAGCAGAGCAGTGACAAAGGGCTAGAGGGGACATGTTTGAGAATCATCTGAGAGATGGCATTGATTAGGCTTGTGAAGTATAACCCAACTCTTAATAAATCGGGAAGGTAGGAGATGCCTGGTTTGGGGAGGAAGAAGGTAGGTACCATTATGAACTTGTTGACTTTGGAGTGCCTCCACGCCACCCAGCTGGGCTGTTCACTTGCTGTGGAAGGAACATTGGTAGGTAATCATAAGAAAAGGCAGGACTGGAGCAAACAGCTGTGGGGGTCACCCACAGAGAGGGCCTGTTCAAGAGAGGAATGCAGGAAGAAAACAGGAAGCTGTGAAGGAAGAACTGCACTGAAGAGGTCAGGGAGGAAACAGTCAAAGAAGGGTCATCAAGGTAAGAGGAATCTGAGAAGAATGCATTTTCATGGAAACAAAGGAAAAGAATATTTGAAAAGGCGGATTTTCAAGAATGTGACAGAAAATCAGGAAGAAACGTCCTGGGATTTGAAAGTGCGAAGTCATTGATGATCTTGGACAGATCTCCCCGAAAGGGAGAGTGTGGACAGAAACACGGTCACAATGGATAAGTGAGGCCATGAAGATTCATGAATACTCTTATTGTTTCCGAAAATCTGATATTAAAAGGAAGGTGTCGTTCCAAAGGAGTATACTTTTAGGCTGAAAATGTCTTGCAATACACAAGAAGGGACCAATGGAGAGGAAGAGCTTAGTGATGCAGAGAACTACAGACATCTGAGGGCTTGCTGTCTGAGACAGAAGGGTGTGGATGAAAAGACCAGCACAGTCCCACACTCACCCCTTGGCCACAAAGCTTCAGCCACAGGAGACTTTGGCATGTTCCTGGAGTAGGCCTCATGCTCTCCTTACTCCAGGCCTTTACACCCGCCACCTCTCTATCTGGGATGTTCTTCCCCAGATTTTCTGTGGCCATCCTCCTCCTTATCACTCTGCAACTGCTCAGTGTCCTTCCTTGACCTCTCTTTGTAAAGTCGTGCCCAACTTCACTGGTCCCGTTGTCTTCATAGCTCATCTCACCATCTGGAATCATCTTTTCATTTTTCTGATTGTTTATTTTCTATTCATCCCCACCCCACCCCCCGCCATTAGAATATCAGTTCCATTAGCAGGACCTTGTCTGCCTTGTTCACTTCCATACTGCTAGTGTTGAGAAAACTTAGCACATGGTAGGTGGCCTCCTAGTATATATTGAGTGAGTGTATGATAGGAGCCATGATTTCCAAGGAGGGAGGAAGGAAGGAGAGGACTGGTAAAGATACAAGGGAGTTCTGTGACGAGACCTAAAGAGAGCTTCTATCTGATATCACCCATGTTTTTGGCAAAGAATAGTAGAAGTCTTCTGAGTGAGGAGTTCCAGGACCAGCGACATAGCCAGGCTTCGTGCTGGGCAGATGGCTGGAATGTGGCTGGAAGGAAGCAGGCGTAAGGTCATTTGCCCAGGTAGAGATGGAATTCTGCATGTCAAGGAGGGAGGATGGCAGCATGAGTCTGGAAGAATGGAATGCTCCTGAATTGAACTGAGAACATGAGTAACACAAGATAGAAATGGGGTTTTAGCATGGTAGAACGTTAGCCGCCATGGTTAACGGTGCTGGCGGGGTTCATCAGAACGTAGGGACTTGTTGGCAGAAGGAGAGTCTGGGGAAAGGGACAAGAGCATTAACTAGGCTAGTGTTTACTGCCATGAGTTTGGTTTTTGTTGAGTTGGTGGAATTAACCAATCCCAAGGTCTGTTTGATGAAATACAAGTGTTGGGCTCTTGATATGAAGAGCAGTTTATGTTTCCTGTTGGTACGTGTTTTTACTTAATTAGTAAAAGGAGTTGAGCATT